GGCTCTGGTGCTGCCACTGCCGGCACTACTGCGGGCAACACCAGTAGCAGCTGTTTCATCAACACGTCTTCAACCTTTCAGTGGGGTACTCGAGGCATTATTGAGTACCTCATTCGTATTGTGCTCAACACTCTTGAAACGCAGGTTCACATATGCAAGGGAAGAAATGAGGATGACGTTTTCGACTCTCCATCCATGTATCTTCCACGACTAAGAGGTAGGAGTGTGGTTTGTATGCGTTTGCGATTTTAAAGTGCCCAAGACTTATTACTAACTTTGCGTGTCGAAGTGGTCTAGGTGGCATTGGGCGAGGGCAAGTGTTCGCTCAATGCGAGTCCTGTGTCTCTACATTCCAATCATAGTACACAATTAGAAGTTGAATTTGATTGTTTTTTAAGAAATTGGCGCTTCTCAGTAGTCCTCACAATAGCAATTACCTCAGCTGAGTCATTTAGAAGGCATTATGAAGTCATAAATTTTACCGCCTTCCTCAACATTCCTCCAGACACCTTCATTAAAGGTAACCAACACCCATAAACGTATGGTGCATGGGCGTAGAAAAATAAGTTGACAATTTGTGCCTACAAATGTTGCATGAATTAATCTCCTAGAGCTTTTTTGGAAGATACATTTGCATATTTCCATTGTTATCATCATCTATCCGCATGTCTCTCGAGCTTTTCAAGAGTGTGATGTTTCCAAAACCTCATTATCCCTGTTTCCTGCATGTTACTAATGAATTCAGTGAGATTTTCGACTGCATGCAAAAGTTTGCTCAAATCTGTCCATTCGCTGTGAAAATTGTCGCCAATATGGAAATTTCAACAGTCTACACGCAAATCCTGTGCTGACAATGCTGCTAAGGTGATGTTTCAGCAGTCGTCTCCACCTGATAAATGTGACTTCGTAATCCAACCGAGAGGCGAGGCACAGAATTGCCCATTCCCATTCGAAAGTTTTAATTTTAACTCTTGCATTGGCGCAACGTTATTTGAGAATTCCTTCCACACATTCTTCAGGCGCCTCTTTCTCCCTACGTAGACGTTCCTCTATCATACAATATTTTACGCCTACCTGCAACCTCATCCCACCTATGTTGACAATCCACATGCGCAACTGATTTCACCTTTCATTATTTATGAATGGTGAATTTCCCACAAGCCCTTCTGAGACTGCCTTTTACTATCTTCCTTGAAAAATAACAAAATACACCTTCATACATATTTGGCTTCTAGGTTGGGTCCACAAAAACTAATCCTGATCGGCATCCCTCCATTCCCTCCAAACTTTAGTTTTCCTTTGATTGCAAAGTCACAATCATCCATGTTACAAACTGAGTTTCGCTTCTGCATAAGAGCAGGAGTGACCACCAACGTGAGGAAAATCCCACACCAAGAATGCTATCTTTATCAAGGTAGCTGCAGGCAATTCAGCAACCACTTTTATAAGCGGATTAACGTTAGGGCTTTGCTGCAATCATTACCGATTGAGGGTAGCACTAAATTGACAGCACTTGGAGGCTATTCATGACGCCATTTGGATGCGCAAGCATTCATTTTGTTCCCTCATCTCTATCCTCCTGCCTGCCTGAGTACCACTAACATGGACTGAATTCGGTCACCCTTTTTGTTACATTTTGAATTTTTGGGCATCAAATGCAAAAATGTCTTGTGATTTGTTGCATTCTTGG